AATATATATACATATCTATATATATTTACATGTATACTGAGTAAATAAACTTCTATCTATATACATATATGCATATATGTATATTTATATTTATGTGTATGTGTGTACGTGTGTGTGTTTGTGTGTCTTTTTTGCATTTACTGTAGCCCTGAGAGACACGAGCAAACGTAGTTCTTTTATTATTATTCAGTAATTCATAAAAGCTATTGCTCTCTCTCTCTTTCTCTCTGTTATCTTTCGTTCGCGTAAAGTCGATATATATACGAGTTTAAATAAACAATCACAACACACACATCAAATAAAAAATAAACTATTCTAAAAAAAGTATTTAAAAATTAAAAGTACAATCATGAAGGTAAGAATCTAACAAAGTGAACAGAAAACTTAACGTTCAAAACTTTTCTTTCCCTATTAAAATAAAATAAAATAAAGTATGAAAAAGCCCAGTCGAATGAAATGAGGACAAATCATTTAGCGTCATTTCACCTGAACCTCACCTTCCACATCAACAATATAGAGAGCATCAGGTTCATGTTTAAGATTCCTCTTGTTTACCTTTCATCGCGAATCTTCCTGTAGATAAGCTTCCTCCATATTATTTATCTATTGCCATTATTGTTTTTAGATTATTTTCTTGGCCAAATTAGGGTCTGGATATAATGATATCGGAAGGGAACAGTTAATATAGATATAGATAGTTAAGCTTAAATATGAGAGTAGAAATATCTTGCCAGGGTTTCAGCTTAGATTAAAGCTAAACCATTCGGTTAACTGTTAGTTCATGTTAGTCAATATGCTTAGATTAGTTTAAGACAGATGCAAATAAAACACGAGCTAAAAGAAAATATTGAATTCGAAAATATGCAGAATTTGTGAGTTTCATACAATAGAATCCAAGCTCTGGCTGTTTTCCTTCCTTTACTCACTTTTCATGCTCTCCCACTCTTTCCCTCTCTCTCTCTCTCTCTTTCTCTATCTATGCTCCCTTCGCTCATTACCTTTGAATGATCAACGTTGCACAACTGTTTACAAGATAAAACCAAAATATATAAAGATAAAGATAACCCACAACTTCGATCGCCGAAGTGGGATCCCGTTCTTTTTTGGGATACGTTGAAATATTCGAAAAGTTAACGAAGAAAAACAAAAAAAGTTCTCGATATTACGATTTACGCGAACTAATCTTTGGCATCCTTCGCAGCATATCAAGGTGAGCATAGACGAGGAACAAAGCGCGGCTCTGATTACGACATGGGCGTCAGCGTGGAGTCGGGAGATGGCAGCTCCAGGTCGTCGTCAGAATCACCTTCGAACTCGCGTCCATCGACACCCACAAAGGTAACAGGCGACGAGGACGAGGACTCCACTATGAAGTCTATTGGCGATAATAATGATCCTGGCATGGAAGTAGCTGGCGATGCGGATGAAACGAAGGCTGCACGCTCAGTTTCCAGCAGCTCCTCGTCCTCCTCTAGCAGCAGATCCAGTCGTCGTGGCAAGAGAAAGAAGAAAAGCTCTGGAAGCAGCAGCAGCAGCAGTAACAGCAGCAGCAGCAGCAGTAGCAGCAGTAGTTCCAGCAGCAGCAGCTCTAGCTCTGACGAAGACGATGAAAAACCCAAAGCGTCACCAACGGCAGCAGCTGTGCCAGCTGATGATGATGATGTCTCTGCAGCCCATGGCGATGCTGATGACGATGCAGATGGTCATGCTCATGGCGGGGGTGATGGCAATGATGATGCTGCTACTGCTGCCTCTGCACACACGAATGCAGATGACGAAGCAGATGCCATTAGCTCAGTTTCCGGCTCGCCAATCAAATCACATTCGGCCACATCGGCGCGTAGTCGCAGCAATAGCCCAGATCGCCTGTACAACCAGGGCGGAGTGGATCTGAATATTAGCCACGAGGATCTCAGTGATGTGAGCGACATCGACATGGAGAACAAGGCCACATCCAAAGACTCCACGATGGTTGGTGACGACGATGACGGCGCCCTCTCGAGCGACTCGCAGCCAGCCATTGACGCAACCCAAGCTCTCAATGGCAAGGATCGTCGCGGCGGAGAGGACAAGTCAGCCAGCCAACCCGTGACAGATAATAAAATGGTAACAATTATAATTAATTGATATAACATTGAGTCGATTGTGCTTAGGTCACGAATTCAAATCATTTATTTGTTAGGCAATTAATTCCCATATGTCGAATCAATATCATGTCAATTACAATCTAACGGAATTTCATTTAAATTGATATTCAACAGGAGCCGGGCAGCACCAATGGGTTGGATGATCTGGTCAAGGCACACGACGATGATGCGCTCGACTTTGAGGCTGAGGAGGGCGAGTGTCCGGAACTGAAGGAGGCGGACGCCGAGACGGATGGGGCTGCCAAGGTGGCCGCTACAGCAAATGGCAACGATTCAAATAAGAAAGGAATATCTCCGCCGAAGCAGCTCGATGAGAATAACAAGGTGGTGCAGCTCGATGGCGATAGCAATGGTGCGGGCGATGGTGATGGCGAGGTGTGCGACGAAGAGGAGAACGGCACGGGCGGCTCGGACAATGCCAAAAAGAAGAAAAAGGACGAAGAGCTGGAAGAGGGCGAAGTCTCGGACGAGGATGAGAAACGACCCGAGGAAACGGAACCGAAGCCCGTCTGTCGCTTCTATACGCGTGGCCAGTGCACCTGGGGCATGAGCTGCCGGTTTTTACATCCGGGCGTCACGGACAAGGGCAACTACACAATGTTCGAGAGCCTCGTGCGATCCGTGCCCATGCAGAGCGGCAGCGGAGCGGGCAACCCCTCGCGTGGAGCCGGCAGCAGTGCTTACAACAGTCATATGGCCGGTGTGCCGCCCGCCAGTGACTATCACGATTACCGTAATGAGCGTCCGGCCGCGCTGCACCATCGGAGCGCTGCGGCACTGCATCACGGTGGCGTGTATGCGCCGGGCGCAGCTGGAGTCAGCGCACACCATGATGCACGGAGTGGGCTGATCATACCCGACGGGCCAGTGGTGGTGGAGAATGCCTGGGAGCGAGGGCTGCGCACGGCTAAGGAGATGATGCGCAAGGCAAACAAGCGCAAGGAGCAGGACATGGACTTCGAGGACAAGAAGATGAATCTAACGCTTTCGCCAGATGAACTGGAAAAAGATCCGTATTATCTCAAGGAGCGCGCCACCTCGCCCGCCGTCGTGCGAGAGTTGCCGCCGACCAATCCAATCAGTCACGGCAATCCACGAGCCCTGCTGCCCTCGGTGTACTCCATGTACGGCCAGCCGGCGGATCGGTATCGTTTCCCCTATATGCCGTCCATTCCGTATGAGGATGTGGATGCCTATGGCCGTATGGCGCGATACCGCGAGCTGCCGCCGCATCGAATGCCACAGTACGAGGACGACCGTAGACTACGTCCTGCACGGGAAGTGATTGTGCAGCGCGTGGAGACGGTCGGACGTGGTGATGAGTGGAGCGATCCGTGGATGCGCTCAAAGTCGATTGGACGCGGTCCGTCGTACGAGCGCGATGACAGGCGGCGTCGGGATCGTCGCAGCTACAGCAGCAATTCATCCTACTCCAGCTCCAACAGCTCACAGAGCGATTCCAGCTCTGATTCGTCGCGATCTAGCAGCGCTTCGGATCACAAGCGCCGCTACTCGCACAAGATAATGTCCTCCTCCAGCTCGCGTCGCCATGCTGCCGGACGAGCGCGCTCGCCCAGCCAAATACCACGGCGACCCAGACACACATCAAGTGAGTGCACTGAATAGTTGCTATAGAGTAATTTCGATAAACATTTCTTTCGTTCTCATAGAGGGCAGCACTTCGTCTACGTACAAGCGCGCCGCGTTAGAGAAGCGCAGCGGCGGCGGGCACAGTCCCGCAGCAAAGCGCAAGAAACTCACCCCGACGCCCAAGAAGTTTGACAAGATGCGCCGCCGTCGAAGCTCCAGCTCATCTGACTCAGGTATGTCCTACCATTTAGCTATTGAGTAACAGACTGACTCATAACTTGGGCACTTCCAGATTCCTCAGACACTTCATATTCGGACTCAGATTCCGGCAGTTCCTCGTCGGACAGTTCGTCGGGCTCGCGGGAGACGCCCGCGAAGCGCATGCGTGCCACAGACAAGGCGCTCAACGAGCGCAAACTAATCAAAAAACGTTAGTATGAAGTAGATGTACTATGTACCATAATGTATCCTAATTGGGGCATTTCTCTGATCCATTGTGCAGCCACTGAACAATCGACCAAGAAGCGTTCACCCATTTCCATTGAGATTAAGAAAACATCGAACATGGTGGGCGTGTCGGCGCTAGTGTCGCCCGGCAATTCGCCCGGCCCCGATAAGGAGAAGGGCGCTGGCAAAGACAAGGAAAAGGAGAAAGAGAAAGACAAAGACAAGGACAAGGACGGCAAAAAGTCACGCCGAGAAGAGCTACTAAAACAACTGCGCGCTGTCGAGGATGCCATTGCCAAGAAGCGCTCCAAATTGACCTGATAATATACGTTTGCCCCCCTCCCAGACCCTCTCCACCTCAATGCACCAGCAACCTTAGCAGCCGCAGCAAACGCTCCTAAAATGCCAACCACCTTCAGCATTCAGTATACAATCTATAGGGTATGTGTGCGGTCGTCTGTCATCTAACTGCAGCCAGGCACACACTTGTGGATTGGGAGTTTATAACTGCAACTGCAACTGCAACTGCGACAGCGACTGCGCCTACGTCTGCAACTTAGCAATTGGGTCTGCTTCTGGATTAGCATTAGAATTAATCAGCTGCCTTCGAAAACAGCCTACAGTCTTTGCATACGTTTTTAAATACTTTTGTTGTTTTACCTAACATCGTAACGCTTGTGTCGATGTTGTGTCGATTGTCAGTTAAAATCAAACAATTCAATGCATTTAGTTTTAATAATCCCCACATTATTCACATGCCAACCCAGACCCATATCCGCACATATACACATACGCAGGCAAACAGACTGACACACAGACACCGATGCAAATAGACATTCACACACATCCTGCACTTTTTTAATCGCCGCTCGCCAATGATAATACTTCATTGATAATGCTAGATGTAATGATGTATAAATAAAAGGCGAATTTCATTGTATCAATTAGTGTATCGTCTTTTATTTTGATTTCTTTTCATTTCAATCTGTATGTATATATAATCTGCAAGATAACTGAATAACTACATCAAATATAATATAACTTACTGTTATTTAGATTAACAAATTCTCGTTGTTTTTCTTGGGCAAACGAATTCCCATGGAGTTGTTGCTGTAGCAGTTAGCTTTTGACGGTTTGTGCGGAAGTCCTTACCACACGATCGTTGGCTGATTGCTGTGTGACCTAAGTCTAATTCGGCTCGAGTAGCTCGTATATGCTGAAAACTTTTAAATTGTTAACTGATATTAATGAAATTTGATTGATTGATTAATTAATTGAGCTGATTTCGTAACTTTTGTGAATTACATTTGCTGCTGCTAATTGTCTGTAATGGTTAGCAAAAGGATGCATGTTACAAGCAGTCTAATTGGATTCTGCGCGCCATCTATGGCTAGAACTAAATACAGATCGTGTCCAATAAGAACATTTATGGGAAAGCTGAATTGAACCTAATTGGAGTTTATTGTTTAATTATTGAAGTTTTTGGAAATGAAACGAGTATTTTTAAAATATGGCAATGAATGTTATGAAAGGTTTGTACTGTAATGTCTTCAACGATTCGCTGGGATTTTGAAGAATCTTTGCAATATGCCAAATGGTTGCGGCATCTGTCAGAAATTGCAGCGAATCTTTTTTTTACGCAAATGTGTGTATGTGCGTGTGCTTGTATGTGGGTGTGCGTGCATGTAATGCGTTGTAATTTCACGGCAATGCGTGTGCGTGTGTGTGTGTTTGAACAAACCTATTTAGATGACGAATCACAGAAATTTGCCCTCATCAATGTGCGTTCGCGAATCGCAACTCCATTGCCTCGCTGCGACCTATATACATATATATATGTACGTATGTATGTATGCGTGTGCATAACGGCCACACCATTCCTCCATAGTCCAATCCCAGAGCCATCCAACCCCAACCCTCCGCCTCGTCAACCCACAACGTCGACGCTATCGACACGTTCTGTGCGTAACAAACTCCGACTCCAACTCCGATTCCGACTGTGACTTTGACTTTGACTATATTATATTACACGATATTTGGCGTTGATTTCAAATACCCTCTCGAGTGGTATTACGATTGTATAAGGAATCATGTGAACAAGATGTGGGTGAGTATTGCAGATTGATATATTCATATCTGAATATCAATATATCAATATATACATCGAAATTTAAATGTGTATGTATGTATCTACTGATATGTTCAACTGGTTTATAGATATGATAATTATAGATTAATATATGGATGTATACATACTTCTATAACTTTACATATGTACATATGCATATACATGCATCAATAGGACAACATATATCTTCCATATATCGAGCTGCCTATATGTATATGTATGTGTATTTTCAAAGGAAATGTGAGATTTAAGCAATCAGAAATCATATATCGAATCATATTTCCTTGGTTTTAGCTTTTATATACATACATTCAGCTGCTAAGAATGGAAAGAATCCTTTGTCCATGTATACATAGGTCTAATAGAGGGAATGTGTTTCTAAAACGTTTACTATTCGAGCATAAAATCATATATATGTATGATATGTATATATGATATTTATCCTTGAAGAGTATCTGCTCTTCGATAGCCTCTCATATGTGTGTGTGTGTTTACGTGTGTGCCAAAAAATTTTGCAATTTCTTGTTCTTTTCTCGTCATCGTCGCTCATTTTTTGCAATCACAGCCGCAAAAAGCTGTCAGAACACATTGTCATCATCAGGCTAGCGAGCCACCCAAACCACCCACCACCCAGCCAGCCACCCAGCTAACCCACCCACCTGGTCATGTGTGCGTACATGTGTTCGTAATCGTTGCCCCTCAGCTCAGGCCTAGCTGGGGAAATAGTGTAATAAAGGCCAGCTGAACTGAAACCTCAACCCCCAACCCCCAGCCCCTACCCCTACTCCTACTCATATCCCCGCCCGTTGGCCGTAGCGCAGGCAACCCCCCAAAGCAAGAGCAGTTTCTTGGCTGGATTAGCGAATTCCGTTGCCATTTTTTACGCACTTCCAGGCAGGCAGGCACAAAAAAGAAAAAAAAAAACGTGGTGGACACCTTGAGAGTGATAGACGGGGTGGCAGCAAGAGGGGGAGGGGGCAAGGTCTGGGGCCGGGGGCGTGGGCCTGGTGGCTGTTTTTGTTGGGCTCGGCCCAACATGTGCGACAGCAAAAACAATCACGAACAGATTTATCGCATTCATATTCAGCTTGATGCGATATGTGACCCAAGATGTGGGCGTGGCTGCTGGGCTGCTGGGCTGCTGCGGTCGAGTTACTACGGCCGGCACTTCCGGGCGCAAAAAGAAAAAAATAAGTATGCATATATATGTATGTATGTGTACATATACATGTGTATGTATGTCTATGTATGTGTGGGTTTAAAGAATTGCGTGCGTATGTGTGTCAAGACCACAAAATGGGATTACATTACTCAAAGAAATTTATTTTGACAGAACTAATATTTTTACACAGATCAGGCTGCTGCCGCTGCTGCTGATGTGTGCTGTCCCTTGTCCCCTTCGCTCCCCTTTAGCCACCGCCACCGCCACCACCACCGCCACCGCCCACACCCACACCCACAGCCATCCCCACGCCTTTCTGGGTCGGAGATTGCGGTTTTGCTGTAGAGCAGGTTTTTTATTTGATTTTTTTCATTTTGTTGTTGCTCTTGCAGCAGACTTTGACTAACTATGCTGCCCTAAGCCGCAGCAGGCGGTTAAATTGGCTGGCAATGCTATAGGGCTTGCTGCTTCAAATTGAGTCCAGAACTAAAGTATCTAGATACCTATAGTTGCATATATGTATGTATGTGCGTAAAATTRCATTGAGTTCTATTGGGCTTGTTCCTTAAACCAGCTAACCAATCCTACATCATGTTAGCGTGACATAGCAGTCAGCTTTTAGTCTTAGCTATTAGATAAACGTACTTATAACGCTAACTCGTAAGCCTAGGCCTGGTGGGTGTATTCCAAATTCGACTACCTAATGGATGTATATTATTGGTACCCAAATACTTGCATTTTTTATACATGAAACCAAACTAGGGATTTCATTCAGAGAGCTGCCATAAGTTGATCTTGAATATTTGTATATATAATACATAATATACATATACATAATACATATATAATACAGTATGATCTCAGCCTTTTTTGATATTAATATTGATATTAATATTGATATTCATATTGATTTTTGAATTAATATCACTAATATCAAAAGAAATTTGTCTTAGTAATTGCTGAGATTTCTTTGCTTGTCATAGCAATTAGCTTTTGTATGTGTGCCTAATAATCAAAGTTAATACGAAAAGCAATTTAAAATTTTATTGTTTTCGACTAATTCAAATTTGATTGATTTAGTTAATCTAGCATTTGAAAAGGTAGTTTTCTTCTTTTATTTATTCACATTAAATTGAAAAATATGTATTTTCTATAGGTTTTTAATTCCATGTACTTGCAATTTGATCTTTGGAAGGTAAATTATACCAGCATCAATATATAGACATAACGTATATTTCATAAAATTATTGATATTTTCGCAGGTAATAGCAAACGTCTCAAATAGCCGAATAAATACGTTTTGAGATATTTTTATATATAAATAACATCTCTCTCTCTATCTCTCCCCCATTCTCTCTATCGAAAGAGAAGATAATCCACGAAACTCTGGAAAACGTAAATATTGTAAAGATTTCCGACTCAAGTGATTTATGCTCAACTGATCATAAGGACGAAGAGCGATTGCTTTTATTCAAAATTCTTATCTATTACAATACGTGTTCATAGTTTTTAAGGCCTGTAATTGGCGCATACTATGCTCAGCATAGGGCCCAGGTGTTTTCCTTATGTCGATGGGAATTATGTATGTCTAACGTTGGGAATAATGCTCTCGCGCCAGGGGGTGACCTCCAATACTGTATTATGTATTATGTTAGTTCGAGAAAACATTATCATTATACAGGTGACATGTACAGGTAGCTTTAACTGTCTCAAATTCCTTGATTTACTTTCAGTTTAGGTGACTTAGCAGTGCCTTTAGCTCCGCAACTAAGCGCAACTAAGAATATTTATATTAGGATGGACAGAATGTTATTTCATTGATGTGCAGAAATTTACTTTGAATAATTTCGTGAAAGATTTGTATTTATATTAGCACAACAATTGCTAGACTACTTTACGCCTTAAACTTTACCGTTTACCATAGTCGCGAGCTTCTGTATGCCAACTGGAGCATGTGAGAAAAGTTTGCAATATAATTCAAGCGCTTAAGCATAGCATTGAGCTTTGCTTCCAGCTGCCAGCTGCCCGCCTCTGGCTAGAGGCGAAGCCTTGACCAAAGCTATCAGTTATGCTTAAACTGCGTTATCCTTTGCTTTGCCTGTGTGTGTGCGAGTGAGTGTGTGTGTGAGGCAGATCGAAATGGCAGCCAATTTCCGCGTCTTGACTTGATAAACGCGACTGCAAAATGAGGGGTTTGGGCCGGCTGCACGGATTTGTGGAATCGAGCGACGAGGCTGCGTTGCCGGCACGTGGGGGATTGAGTCTAGCATTAGCAATGTATATACATATACATATATGTATATATAACACTTATATGTATGTACTTGTGGGCATATATGCTTGGATTCTCGTGCGTTGTCCATGGCGTCGCATAGCCAAGGAAACGATTTTGTCAGCCCAGTTTTTTATTATTTGCACTGCGACTGCGTATGGTCGTGTGTGTGTGTGTGTGTATGTAGGAGTGTGTGAGTGTGTGTGTCCGTCCGTTTCCTTGTGCCCGGCACAACTTTTCTTTGATGCAATATGTACAAACGGCCCGGCCAGCAACAGCCAAAGGACCAAAGAGAAAGGATGTCGTCTGTATGCGGCTCGACCCTCACGTACGAACTTTTGCCATAACAACAACTGTGGCCATTACGACGTTGCCAGAGCATGTGAAACACACACAGACTAATACACACGCGCGCGCTCACACACACACACACACAGTTGTACGGGCTGCTGGTCCTTTTGGTTTCTTTCGCTACCTTTGAAAAGTCCAATTCGCAGGCCAAAAACGCAGCCCACAACTTTAGTCCGAG